ATGATATAGAAAAATAACGTCTACAGAAATAAAAAAAAAATATTAACTGCAAACGTCTCACCCCAATAAAATATGTAACTTATATATCCAAATGAAAATTTCTAGGCATATCATCTGCAAATGTAAAGAAGCACTACCAATTAAAAGTTTTATTTTCGAGAATAAAGACATGATAATACAAAGATGTAAACATTAAGGTCGAAAGTAATTCTGAAATATGTTAATGTCGTTTATTAGTTTAAAGCATCCATTTAGGAATACTGTCCTTTCGTATGACTCGTTTTCCAATTCAGAAAGTGGTAGTTCTAGTTGTAGTAAACTGCCCTAACAGAGAACTTACATTGATATTGAGACAACTATGTCAAAGCAATCTACGATAAGTTAAAAAAATGCAAAATAGAGAGTAAAATTTTTCAATTTGAGAAGCTGATTATAACTATCATAATTATTTCATAGTAATGATTAAAGTTAATATGATAAAAACAATAATTTGCTATTAAAAAACTAATATTAATAATACTTTTATCATAGATTCAAAACAACAACAAAAATTGCATCAGCTTTTCTTACGTGTAATGGAATAAGTTATATTCTTAAATAACGTTTAATGCGATACAATAAAAATAAAAATAAGCATATGTAATTATAAAATAAAGAATATAGAATGTTAAGGAAAAAAATCACCCCTATACTCTTATTCTTACAACATTTCTAAAGGTAAATTTTAAAATTTCGATTTTGGAAAATACAAAATTATATTAACCTCATTCAAGTCGAAACTCAACCCAATCCCACAAAAATATACTTTCCTTACCAAGGTGTCACCTGATAAGACTTTGATCACCAACATTCAATGCAATACAAGCTGATCGTCCACTGCGAGAAATAATATAACAAAATATCAAAGTTAAAATATTTTTTACTGTAAGAAGTACTTGTTCTAAAACTTTTCTTAGATAAAGCTTCGGATACAAAGAATGTGGTCATAAAAAGTAACTTGTTTTAAGGACTGAAAACAAAGCAAGAAAAATATGCATTCATTTCGCAGTGTTATTACTATATAATTCAAAATACCGGCATAAATTTTTCAAATGATAATCGTTACGTCTGGAAATAAATTAAGTCATTCAGGAAAGCGCATTTTTTCAAATACTTTTCAAAGATAATTATAATCAAGCAACATGTATGAAATAGTGTTAAAATATTTTACAATATTTTTTTTTCTCAAAACATGAAGCCAAGTGGGAATGCATGAATGAGGAAGAAAAAATTAGAAAAGACTCTACGTCTAGGCAGAAAATGAAAGGTGTAATCGAGTGGTCAATTTTCACTTATGAATGACATTTGGAATAAGTATTTTAAATGTGTAGTAAACATGTTCACATTTTACCAGTAACTTCCATTATTACCGTTGTTTATGACAAAATCTCAATAATTAAGCATTATAGGTGTTCTTTTACTAATAAGAATCTATTTGTGACAACATTTTATTGATAAAAGGTTATCGACAGATTGTTAAAAAATACTTTTACGTTCGGCAAGTTTTTTTTTATAGAACTTTGAGGTATTAAAACTTATTTCAAGATATCTTTAATCAACTTATGTTATCAAAATGTGTATGAAAGCATCGCAAGAATGCAAGTTGAACTAAAATTCCACATTCTTTTAAATAAGCTTGAAAATGAATAATTATTATGAAACACAAAGCAAACGATCTTTCAATGATAATTTATATATTATATGCTATATTCACAAATCTTAAGTTAAGGTTACGAATACGAAAGTTAAGGTTACGAATACGAAATATCACTTTGATATCCCCGAAAATTCTGTTTTAAAAGAAAGAACATGAAATTCAATAGCCTTGACCAATACGCGAATTGGAAAGTGACTGAATAATTTCATTCATTTCATTTGAAATATATAACATAACAAGAAATTAAGTTATTGCCAATTAATAACGAGTTCGTGCGAATTTTGCGCGCATTTATATATGCAAAAGCATGATGACTCATTTAAAGCAGGAGTCCGTGTGCACGGTGGTGTTATTAGGTGCATTGCTGCTGCTCCGTTTATTCGCTCAGTGTTTATGCAAGAATAACATTTTGCAATAGCATATCAAAGGTTTTGTGCGAAACATATGTAACGCATTTTACACAATAAAGGAGTAACGCCTATTTTGCACCTATCCATGAAAATGTGAACGCGAGTGCCTTACCCAGATTAATTAAATGATTACACAGAAACAATCAGATGGTTAAGATCTGAAATAAAGAGAATTTCGGATATTGATAAATGTGCATATTTCGAAAGTATTATAATAGTTTTCTAAAAATCTTGTTGTTTTTGTTGTTTTCCTTGTCATTCCCATCTCAAAGTCCTGGATATTTGAGGAAGTAATCAGCTTAGAGTAAAAAATAGCTCATTCATCAGACATTATTATTTATCTAGCAGTAATTGAACTAAAAACAAAGCATTTATTTAACGACTTCCTTCATTTAGGACAAAAATATATCTAAATTACAACTAACATCATTACTCGGTTTGTACATATTTTTGTTGAAAGTAGATAAATGAAATATTGCTATTTACAATGCACCAGTAACATGTTTTGTTTTAATCATATTAATTGTCTTTCAATCCCCTCATTTCAAACCATCTCACTAATTATACTCTTAGTTACTGAAATATTTTGAAATAAGCAGGATAAAATATCGAAATTGATAAAATTAAAATTATGAGAACTTTTTGCAGTGTGAACTTATCAACATTTGCTCGTACAATGTTCCAAAATATATAATCGTTCTGAACACATTATATTAACAATTATGACAAGAAATAATCTACGTCAATAAAACCGTCACGTAATTGTCGTGTAATGCTGTATTCAGCGTTGTCATATAATGAATTGCCTCAGTCAGCGAACCATTGTATGTTTCTATGTTCTTAACATTGTGTGTTTTTTTTTTTTTTTTTTTTTTTTTTTTTTTTTTTTTTTTTGTCTTAGAAAGATTGGGCATTCTGTATTTTTACATATTTTTTTGTTCCTTTTATTGATAAAGATTAATATGTTAATATAACAAGGTTAGCTTTTAAAAAAGCTAGCAGCGACTCGCTTCGTAATTTTTTTTCCAGGGGGGGTTGGGTTTAAATGTAAAAATGACAGTTCTGTTAGGTGAAGAGATTTCAGCGAACATCAAAATAAAAGTGACATATAAAGTTATGGAAGCCAGTTATCTCAGTTTAACAAAGAGTAATATGAGTATATATGAAGATGCATGTAAACAGATAGAATGAAGTTCCTATGTCTATGCACATTAACTATATGGCCTGTTGACCTTGGCCAAAAAAATGTTAGATAGGTAGAATTCATAAAGATGTCTCTTTATACGAAGTTAAGTTGTAAAATGTTGGGTGCGGGCGAATTTAGATTCAAGGGGCATGATTAACATTTGATTTGTACAAGTTCTCAAGGCATTGGTACATATTAAATATCAAAGCTGGAGGCATTGAAGTTTATATCAATAAGACTTAAACATATTTTCCCTAAGCATTTAAATAAAAATTATGTCCACTTCATCTTGGTATACGAAACATTTTAAACAAATAAATATGATGTAGATACATGAACAAAATTTTAAAGTGGTCAACAAGGCAATACCGCATGCCAAAAATTTAAAGTTTAGGCATTAATAAGGTATAAAGGTGTGCATATGTGTTTCTATATAAGTCATGTCCTTGACCTATGTGCAAAACAATATGAACAACTATGACAGAGGACACCTGTAGTGTGGTTAATGTGCAGTCTTTGGTTTCATAGATATCATTTAAAGAGAAACTAAATTACACATTAGGGACAACAGATGAATAGGGATCCCAATTCCTGTTTATGCTCACCAGAGCACATCTTGCTCATAGTGAGCATAAAAGGGAATTATATTGTAAGAGCTAGCTAGGGCTTGATCTCCTGTACAAAGATTCAACGACAATAATCAACACAAATATAGTTTATTCTTATACTATCCCGGGCGTCCCGGATCCCGGGATTTTCTCCCACCCTAAATAACGGAAAGAATAAAATGACCGAAAAAAAGAAAAAGAAAAAATTGACATAACCAGATGTACACTTATGTAAATTAACCAAACGAAAACTTACTACAGAGAAAACAGGTAAAATCGCTAAATCAAAAGTCAGTGTAAATATGATTTATTGAAAAGAATTCATGAAATCAAACATTTCAAACATTATCATCATATCTTTGCGCTCAAATCAATACTTGCTGTTTTTAAAAATTGGCGTGAAAATTGAAAGTTTTTTGACGCTTTGTAAGATGAAATTTGATTGGCTAAATAATTCTGGATTCCAGCACTGACAGATAAATTTTGTAGAAAGCTGGAAGCCAAGCTTCGATTAAATATTTGGATGGATTCGGAGTTTTGGGTTGTTTCTTAGTAAAATCCTAACGTAATACCGGCTCGCCGTGGCGAGCTGGCACAAGGAGGAACCATTTTTGAAAACCAAACTCTTTCTACTGTCCAATTATAACAAAGACCTTTGACGCAACATTTATTGTCTTATTAGCAAAAAGAAAATCTGAATGAATTGAAATATATGATAAACAATGAATAAAAAATATAAGTAAAACAGCAAAGGGCAACAATTAATGACGTTATGTCAAAGATCTCGTATCTCTAATTTCTATTTGCCTCACATAATTGTAAACCAACTGTGTATTCAGCCAATATAATTGTTGCAGTCAATGACTTATCAATGGTTAATGTGTTCAATGGAAAGAGAAACAAGAATACCGTTTCACATTTCCCTGAATTCTTCCTAAATGAAAAATTTATTGAAAAGTATTAAGAGAGGGACGTCCAGCTGTTAATATCTTTCTAAGAGATTGTCAGTGTTGATATTGTATCCGTTACCACAAACAGAAATGTTCTTTACCGTCATTTTTTGTATGTGCGACAGTTTATCTTTATACCAGATTCCTGTCATCACTGTTGTACAGCGTCCACCGGATATAGCCCCTAAAAACGCCGAAAACGAAACTAGAAAGCGGTACACCGAGTACACCCAAGGTAATGTTTTAACTTATTTCTTCATCATTACTTCATCGATTTTTCAAAACCAAACATTTTTGTAAAGCTTAATATGTCTAGTTTTAGAGCAGTGTTTGCTTTTGTCTGCAAATTTAATACTTTTTGTAAACTTGGCGTTAAAATGTAGCGTATTTGTTGACATGTGGGAACGATGTTGATATTTACCACTAAAACAAGCCCAAAACGCATTTGAGTTATCAAATAACGCCGTAAATATGAGCTATTGTCATCAATCTACTTATATTTGAGTTTTCATCCTTCAACTCGAGCTGCTTTTAACAAAATTTGCGAAAAACAGCCTTGCCTAGTGTACAGAGTCTAGCAAAGAAACAAATTTAAGTGAACGGGGTGTAGTAGTTTAATGTACAGGGTTTAGTAGATGTGTACGGTGTCTAGCAGTCATAAATTTTTTATGGTATAGTCTTTTATATTATTTTAATTGGAAATAATCTCATTTCAGACTAAACATGGATAAATTGGATGACGATAAAGAGTTATTTGGTAAATAATTTAACTTTTTAGTGCTTTTGAGTCTAAAAGTATAACTACGTTTATTTCTTATTGTCACACCTTCACAACCATAACATAAACTGAATAGTGTTGTTGGTATTTATTAAGTATATTGACAAACTCGCTGAATGAAAATGGTCCGAATGGGGATATATTTATATATATGCATGTATAACTAACCTACACATAAGACAGAGGTCGATAATTGACCAGACACTTAAAAGATTATGCACAGTGTCATTTTCTATAAAACGGCATTAGCACGTGTCTTCTATAAAACAGTTTTAGCCTCCTAATATAAGCTTAAAGTCGACTTAAGTCAGCTATAATCAGTATAATTTTATTAACACCCATATTTACGAATTGCTTCATGTATACCTTGCAGATTTTGGATTGTATCACAGGTCGGAGGACGACGATAGCGACGACGGAGAGCAAAGCTTGCCTGTTAGTAAGATATGCATATAATTATATTTTGTTTTCTGATATATAAGACCGAATAGGAAAAATATAAATAATGCTAAGTAAAAATAATCACCTCTATGGAACTCGAACCTTTAACCTGCTCCATGTAAGCCAACAACCTGAGACAGAAAGATACATCCTCCCCACCATACATGTATATGCAACGAATGCTCTGATTAAGAAATCAAGTTTTTATCCTTATAGTCACTGGTTTATAAAATGGGGAAAACCTATATACTTATTTAATTTTAAAGGCCCGTTTTCTTTTATCTTATAAAACAGAAATTCACAATAAATCACTATTCAAAATATATGGTATTCATAAAACATCTTCTGGAATATGTCAAGTATCTAATGTTTTAAATTGTACTCCTTGTTGTATGAAAGAGTTATGCAAATAAACGATATTGTTTTCCTTATTTCTTTTATACAATAACTGTCATACGTATTTAGAGATTGCTCAGTAATGATGATTATCATTTCATTTTTTAAGCATTAGACATAATTTAACTGTAAAATACTGTATAAAGTAACTTATTTGAACTGTCATTATTAACACTTAAGGTTTTGGCAATACAGTTTTCAGAAGCTTGATTGTTCGTTGTAACGATTATTAATATTTTCAGCTGGATCTGTCCTGTGGATCATTGGACTTGTCAGGTGTCCAAGAAGGGCCTTTGACGAGCACTCCAGCCAAACCAAAAAAGGCAAAATCCAAATTATCATGTGACCAATGTGGAAACACATATTAAACTAAATATGGGTTAAACATCCATCGTATGAAGCACACTGGACATTACAAGCATGTATGCGCTATTTGTAGTCAAGGGTTTGGCCAGACCAAACAATTTAAATCACACGTGGCATCTCACAACAAACTTGCAGTGTCAAAATGTGGTGACTGTGGGAAAGCATTCACTGGCCATTCGTCTTTGAAGCGTCATACTCTTGTTTGTGGTAAGAGAAATATTTCCTCGAAATTCTCCTGTGATGAGTGTGCTTTAGAATTCAAAACAAAGGAGTACCTAAGGGCCCACCAGCGAGGTAAACACCAGGACCCGAGGTACATGTGTGAAAACTGTGGAAAAGCCTTCGCGTGGAGATCTTCACTTCGAGTGCATAAAAAGAAGTGCAAATGAATCAGATAACAGCTTAACTTTTACATTAGTGTGGGCTTTGAGAAGTCGTTGGATACTTACTAATGATATTTGAATTCAGTTTTTGTTTAATCCAAGTTCTTATTTCGAAAGTTTAGATTTTGATTATGTTTTCGAAAATGTTATAACACCTAGGTAAAGGTACATGATTTATATCCCAACTAGTAAAATATGTCTATAATCTCCCATACCATTTTCTATTTTATGCAAACAACAACATTTTGTCTTTTTTTATGCCCAGAAAGGGTGCCGTGTCCGTCCAATCGTCCTTCCGTGCGTCTATGTTTACTGTTTTCGGCAAGCGTTTTTTGTTGAGTCTTTACATTTAAACTTCATGGATACATACACGTTGATGAGTTCTACCTGTCATGCCCACTTAGAGAGGACATGGTCAAAAGTCAAGTCCATTGTCAATGTTAAACTCGATCCTTACCAGGAAGGCCTTCCTCCTACAGTCTGCAAGCTTAATACTTTACTCAATATGAGCTCTACCCACCAAACCCAGTGAGAGGTCTAAGGTCGAGGTCATCATGCCTCATGAGGCCCTTATCGGAGAGGGGGGACATGACGCTCCTTGTTTAAAATTAAGTTTAATGTTGATGTGGCACATTGTTCATACATATGTGATAATATGTTATAATGTTAGGAAGTTTCGGAAAAAAAGTCATTTTATTGTTCCATGAGCGTTGGGGTATATGTTGCCGTCTTACCAATTTGTCTGAAATTTAAATCTAAGGCTGTAAGAGATTTCTACAAGAAACATGAAGTGTGCACATATCTCATTTTTGACTTATTGTTTTCTTTTATTTAGCGTATTTGTTTTATTGTTTTTTATGGAATGCAAGGCATGCCTTCTGCATATTCATGTTAGTTCTGAAAAAAAACTATTATCGTTCTAGTCATAAATTTTTATTTTGAATAAAGACTGTAAAACATTGTGTGTGTGTGTTACTTTCTTGCAAACTGTCAGTAACGATTGCGGTTAGAATAACTCTATAGAATGTAAGTCTTGGACTTAAATTTGGAAATAAGAAATTGGTCTTTGATAATTTGTTTATTTGCATCGCCTTTGTTAACAATTTCGTAATATTTTGGATAACAGGGATTCAAACCCGTCTTAATAAATAGTAAAAACGAATACAGTATGGCTCAAAGTGATGAACTAATACGTTTCTTATACTTTTCTTTTCTTTTTATATACATAGCTGCAAGTTTAGATTATCGTGACAAATAAGTTTGCATTAACGGCCTGCAAGCCTAGGGCTGGGTACAAACGAACTAAATAACAATCTGTTGTAATTTGAAGTTAACAATTATGGAAATAGTATATGCTTTTTTCATGTACTGTTCATACACTAAGAAGTATTTAAATTTGATCAAACTCCATGTTTGCTCTTCGGTCGGCCAATAATTTACTTTGGTCCTCCCGGAAATGCTGACGAACACCCCGAGCACCTCGTGCTGCATCGTCAGGAGCGGAAATTGTAACCAACTTCCTCTGAGCTTTTCGCTTTGCCCGTCTTTTCATATCGAACATGTGATTTCTGAAATTTAAAAAAGGAATATAACAACAAACATTTAATAATGAAAATAAACAAATAATTAACACATATCAGCAATATTAACGACACCTTATATTATGTAACAGACATCGTTAATATACTTACTTCAAGGTAATTTGTTCGACCTTTTGAGGATACAAATATATTGTCGAATACTCGACCTCACTCTCCGCAATCAGCTCATTGGTTGGGTAAACCTTCTGCTTGGAGAGTGTCATATGAAATGGACGTTGCGGTTGGAGTCTGGTCTTCAAAAGTTGGCAAGCGATTTCCAGAGCTTGTGGTACCTCCTCCGCTTTGATTACACCCGTACCTATATGTGAAACAATATGTTAAATGTTTTATATCTATGACGTCCATGGGTTTACCCAAATGTTAAAACGATGCATAAAAATAATTCAAATATTTAAATGATGTTATCATTTTAAAATATAGATAAAAGAGCTATTCCATTTACTTAATTTCATTGATGCTTTTATTTTACAGTCTGCTATGGCTATGATTCAAATATGTTTCAAACGCAATCTAAAATGCATCGCATACACTGTGGTCATGATTACTATTGAAACATCGATATCGATAGTCTATATCGTTTTCTATTTCTATTTCTTAAGAATATATTTTTAGGAAAAAGATATCAATTTTGAGAAGGGTACTGGTACTGATACCAAATTACTTCTTTAAAAAGTACTGGCACTGCAGTACCGAGCTGAAATCTAGTACTGGAACATGTACTGGTAATGCATAACTTGACAAGTACTGGTGTAAGCATTCCATTTAATATTGAGCATAAAATATATCGTGTTATAATGCACTACACTGCCCTATCTGTGTAAAGATAAAGAAACTTGTACCTTTTGGATCTAGATCTTGAAATTGACCAAACAGATTCTCAGCTTCGAGACTTCCTAGCGCTCTAGGACAATAGGATCCACATTTCACATATGGGAACAGTTGAATTCTTCTTTCTATGTTCGTCATAAATCCCTGGAACATTACATTTGGTATTCCATTAATGTACATGCCGTATGGTGGGAACTTGCAAAAGTTGACGTCTGTCAGAAGCCATTCTCTAAGAGCCAAACGTCGTGTCGTTCTCTCAAAAGCACTTAATCCTGGTTCGTCTTCAGCTTCGTAAAAATCTCTGATCAGTTGACAAAAATACGCTTCCGATGGAAACTTCAAACGCATGGTTTCTTCAACTTCTTTTGAAAATGTCTCTTTTGCAATGGAGTCACTCTGCTTGTCAATAAGGTCAACTACATGTGCAACTTTCAGTTTGGTCAAGTTTGACCTCGCTACATATATCCATGCATCTTTTGAAATCTTTCGTTCTGGAATACCATCCTTACATACTTTTATCCTGCAGTTTGTAATCAAGTGATGGACATCAAGAAATGAGAATAGATATGCTAGTGTCCGTGTATTATATTCAGGACATGAAAACCAACATAATCGTTCATCAGCTACTCTTGTTATTGGAGAAAATGGAAAAGATTGCCTCCAATTTTGGATCCTTTCTGGCATTTCATCTTCAGCTATTACTGCATTCATCACAACCTTTGGTAAATTGTTAACTGCCCTCTTGCAGAGCGTTATTAATTTCTCAGGATTTTTATGTCTTCGTCTTCTGACACTAACTTCAGGTTTTAATTCCTCAGGAGTTTTGTTGCAGAGTGACATCAAAAGTTCTCCTAGTCGTTTCTTATTCCAACTTTTTGCAAATTTCAGGTTCAAGGTATCCAGCACATACTTAACTGAATCAAGACAGATTTTCATTTCATCTTTGGTTAATTGTTTTGTTAAAGTACTTAAATCAATGAAAAATGATTCGAAACTGCAGGTATCTACGTTTTTCCATTTTTGTGAGACCTTATCGCTTCGCTGAAGACCAAAAAGCATATTCTTCATGTTTTGAGGCCTCAATACACCCGAACGATTATCTTCAAGACATGCAATGTGTTCATTGCTTTCTACATCATAATTGTCTGTGAGCAAATCATGTTCATAATATCGTTTCCTGTATTGGAGGCGATGACTTCTGTATCGTTAATGGACAAGATATCCACAGAATTGTTAACGTCTTCGCGTAGTGCTGCCTCATTTTCGTCTATTTCTTCTTCTTGTAGATCTGTTATAGATGATGTACTCGCTACATTGACAGTTTCTTCGTTCTTAGACATAAATGTATCTGCTAGTTGAATTTGTATTCCATGATTATGTGCTTGACCACCTAAATTTGCTGGTTTGTTGGCCTGCCTTAGAATGGTCATATATTCGTTGCTTACAATATCAAGCACATTTGCATTTAGTGAAGAAAGAACGTAATCGGAGTCAGATTCCATTACCTTATCGGTTGCTTCCTTTTGCTTATCTTTTGACATTTTTGTATTTCTGATCAATCTGGAAATGTGTTTCGATGGCTTGAAAATATGAGTTCCACCGATAGTGCTAATTGTAACACTTTTTTTGTTAACGTCATATTTATAATCTGTGCTCTCTATTAGCTCTTCAAGTGTCTTGACTTTCACCTAGGCTGATTTGAAAAATCTTTCTGTAATTTCATTTTTTTTCATCTGTTTAACGCCATTATATACACTTCTCTGTAGTTCCAGTAATGTAAGCGGCTGTCCATATTCATCTCTGATTGACAATGAGGCCCACTGGCCGTCATATGATACAACAGGCGTATACAAACCCTGCACAAACAATTCATTTAGAACATCTTGTATCATTTTTCTCATAGTCTCGGAACTCATGCTGTAGCCCTTTAAAGCATATGCCACCGGAAATGCATGTGGAACCTCTGGTTTATATATCCTGTCAAGATCTGCAAGAAGAAATATTAATACTTCGCTAGCTTTGCGACAGCTTAATCTGTGACATGTGCTAATCGCTTCGTCTGCTCTCATACAACATCTCTGTAAATCAGCCAATCCGACTTCCTCTTCAGTAGATTCTTTACATGTGTGAGAAAGCCTCCCAGATTCTGTAGATGAATGACTACAAGGTAGTGCAATTTTTGACTTGAATTCAGCCACCAAATGAACATTGTTTTCACAAAACTCCTTAATTTTTTGTTTTATGGTATCCATATCTGTACCAAGACGTTTTGGTGGATTTGCAACATCCAGATCTGCTATTCTTTTGCAAATTAAACCCCATAGTGTAGGGTCGTATTGGACACGAAGCACTGTCATCGACTGTTTTGTATATGAACAAAAGTACAAGTTATCTACTCTTAAACATGTCATTTCGCTGAGTACTTGTGTTACGTAATATTTTGGAAGTTTGTAGTGGACAGGTGTGGTAAATATCTTTCCAGGCATAGGACATTTTATTTCAATCCCTGAAACTGCTGCCAAATCAGCATTTCTTAAACTCCCATCTGGGCTTATAACTAAGCATGGTTTGTTATTATCAAATTCTACGTAACAACCTTCTTCAAAGCACTTTAATTCAGGATGGAATGCCGGCAAAAATGATGAACAGATTGTTGAAACCGCGTTAAGCTCATTTTTCGCTCCATGATCGAATTTTTCTTGCAACTCATGTGATATTTCATCAGGTTGTTTTCGTCCGGCTTTAACGTCTAAGTGCATCTTCTGACGTTTTAGGCCCTCTAAACCAATAGCTTTGTTAATAGTGCTTCCAGTGACAATACAACTGTCTCTTATTTCAAACCACTCTTTGGAGCGTTGTTTAATGAGCGATGGGTCGCAATTGCTTTCCATGTGACTACCAAGGCAGACATAATTTGATTGGTTCTGCATTGAAACCTCATCTCCATTACATGTTAATGTTCTTGCGCCTGAAGCCAACGACATGATTTTGCATATAATCTCTATTGTACTTAAAAGATCGTCAACACAGTTGTCTATTTGATATACCGATGTTCTTATTGAACTAATCACCATCGCAAATTTACTACTTCTCCAATCGCCTTCAACTTTACTTTGAATATTTTGCAACGCTGATTCTTTGCTTACTTTAATTTCGCGCAAGTCGCGTATCCTGTAGCTTAGTATTGAAATAATATCTCGTGATTCTTCTATCAGTAAAAGAAGTTCTTCTGTATGTATATCACGGAGGCTTACATTTCCAAAGGTAAGAAGTTTCTCAACTTTTTTCTGACATTGTTCAATCTTGTCGCGTTCGTTTTCAAACCTTATTTTTCTCTGCTGAAAGGTCGGTGATGACTCGTATCCCCATAAATCCACCTCTCCTTTTGAAGATGCATTAATCTTATATGTAAGCAAGTGATCAGCATCAGTTTTAGACACTGTTTGCATCATTTGTTTCATTATTCCTGGAGCCCGATTTTGAATTATTTCATTTTCGTCATTGAGTAATCTTCTGCCAGGTACTATGAAATTTATTTTTGACATCTCTGGCCGGTACTCATGACCTATCTGTTCATGTTCATTTATTGAGTAGCAACTATGCTTTGGACCACCCATGAATCTCAGAAACCTGCCTCGGAAGAGCTTGAAACCTGTGTTCCAGAATAATTTACATTCTTCGCTATAACGGAACTGGCTAGAACTCTTTGATCCGAACCATCTAACGACATCATTAAATAAGAGAAATGCAATGTTATCTAATGGAAACCGTTTCTCTGCTACAAGTTTGTTGTACAAAACATATTCTTCTAGCTGACCACTGTCTTTAAATGAAGATATCACAGCTGGTAGAATCTGAACTAACTCCGCTAATGTGTCATCTTCTTGAGATAAGTCCAATGTACAGAACTCAGCATTTGTGGAAGTAACATCAGATGTACAGACCTCATTTTCATTGAGTTTGCCAAATTTGATTATTTTCTTGAACGGACTATCTTTTGGAACATTATTCCTTTTAGAAATATGAATTTTCTTATTTTTCTCATCAATAGTTATTGTTCGACCTTGTTCTCTACACAACTCTGCGGTCACTTTGTAGTTAATGATTTTAATAGTTTGCCCATCTAACTCTCTGTGTCGAATTTCCAAATTAGGATGATGTTCAATAATATGCTGAATGGACTCTTTAAATGTCTCAGATCTCTCTGCACACTCTGTACATTGATATGGCATTGTTTAACTGAAAAAATAAAATACCATCATTATGTTTACGGTTAAGAACTGTTCACTAACTTAAATGTGTAAGCGACCGGATTGCTCAGTTGGTAGAGCCGCGGAACGGTTTTCCGGAGGTCCCGGGTTCGAGTCCCGTTCAGGCTGCATATTTATTCACTCTGTGACATTTGGCGCCAGACGGGGACCGTGATTGGATATAGCTCAGAGTTTAATTTACATTGTTTAATTACATTGCTCTGTAACTCTGTGAAATTCGGGGACGAATTTCAATATAACAGGGGAGTTTGTCACAGTCCAGAATTGTCACTTATTAGCAGAGAAAATGTAAAAGCGGCCGTATATCTCAGTCGGAAGAGCCGCGGAACGTTATTCCTAAAGTCACGGGTTCGAGTTCCGGTCAGGCTGCACATTTTTCTCAACCTGTGACAATTATCATCTTCATCATTTATCATTTTCAGAAAAGCAGCAGCATTAGCGGTATCATTGTATTTATAAAACAATATCGAGGTCACTCGAGTTGGACTGCACAAAAATTGCTGAAGATTTTATAACCCCTGAGAAAATCTATTTTTACAGAAGCTCATTAACATACGTTTGTTTTTCAATGAACTGGTAAAATAATACACAAATATAAAAAGTTTAAATCAAGTTTAGTTCACAATGCATAACTCAAACATGGCTTGATCGTGTTTAAGACAAATTATAGAAATGATAGAATTTGCTATAATGTTCTGCCAATATGGAATGAGATTATGGTATTTTGAGTTTCACATTTTCCTTACATTTTCCATAGTCACGCATAAAAACTGGTCTAGCAGGACGGAAAATGTTTACTGCAATTAATAAACATGTTGCGTAAAATGTTTATAAATTAATTAAACATGTTTATCCTTTATAAAATGAAAATCATTCACTTCACAATCCCTGCTACCGATATCGATCTTCAGCGCACGTGTATTTGGTCTGGTAATGAATTTATCTTGCGAACATGATTTTAGTTTACCTACTACACCCCGTAAACTCGCAAACAGTTTTCCATCTACACCCCGTACACATGCGTGCTAGACTCTGTACACAAGGCAAGGCCGTTTTTCGCAAAATTTGTTAAAAGCAGCTCGAGTTGAAGGATGAAAACTCAAATATAAGTAGATTGATGACAATAGCTCATATTTACGGCGTTATTTGATAACTCAAATGCGTTTTGGGCTTGTTTTAGTGGTAAATATCAACATCGTTCCCACATGTCAACAAATACGCTACATTTTAACGCCAAGTTTACAAAAAGTATTAAATTTGCAGACAAAAGCAAACACTGCTCTAAAACTAGACATATTAAGCTTTACAAAAATGTTTGGTTTGGAAAAATCGATGAAGTAATGATGAAGAAATAAGTTAAAACATTACCTTGGGTGTACTCGGTGTACCGCTTTCTAGTTTCGTTTTCGGCGTTTTTAGGGGCTATATCCGGTGGACGCTGTACAACAGTGGTCATATACAACAATCAAATATGCACTTATTTACATCTTACGTATCATTAAAGTATTTTTGTTTATTGTTAAGATGAACTAGATGACACGTTAACTTATATTTTTACCGACACAGTGGCAACTGAGAAGATGTCATGTCCCGCTGTTAAAATAATTTTGTATGGAAATGTAAATGATTACTTCATGTGAAGCATGTTTCTTTATTGAAAGGAAACAGAAACACTCATGACGTAACTAGCCGGTGGTTTGGATTTGAATACTATGATACTATGAAAAATTTGTAATAAACACACAAAGTGACCCGGCGAACAAATTACTGACAGATTGACTGTCTACACGACAACACAAAAAT